GAAGTACTGATGGGGTGGTCATAATAATCTGGTCACTCAGTGTATATAAAAGCCTAAGCGACCCTTCGACTGTCCAATCGGTAGCTATGATGTGCACTGACCATCAGGGGGCAGACGCTCAACGCAGGAGCTGCTGAGCTGTGGTGACTTGGCAGCTGTGGTTCTCGGGCAACGCACCTGGAACCAGAGAGGAGGGAGCCAGTTTCCGGGGTGCATCACCTGAGAACCACCCTCACGCAATCCGGGACCCCTTGGGGGATGTCAGAGAGCCAGTTTCAGCCCGATCCCTGCAGGCCAGGCCAGGGGACCCCACTGTGCACCGGGCCTCTAGTATTAGTAATAAAAACAAAGTTGATGGCCAAGTCAATTGACCTCTCTTGGTAGTAGGGCTGTCCTACTGTACTTACTACTTCAGGAAGTCAAAAGGGTCAAATTTCTGGAAAAGGCCTAAGGCAGAAGTCCTAAACATTCCCCAAACCACTCACAAACTTTCTCTGTAACTTGCTCACCAAGGGGAAAAAAAAAACACATTTCATCTTTTTGTCCTGACTTATTTTGACAATATAAAACTAGCCATAGTTGGTTTGGCTCAGTAGTTAAGAGTGTCGGCCCGCAGACTGAGGGTTCTGGGTTTGATTCTGGTCAAGGGCAGGTACCTCGGTTGCAGGCTCTGGTCTGGTCAGGGCTGGTGCAGTTAAGGTACATGTGGGAGGCAACCAATCCACGAGTCTCTCTCACATCAATGTTTCTCTCTGTGTGTCTCTCCCCTTCCCACTCTCTATTTAAAAAAAACAACAACACAAAAAACAGCCCTAGCCAGTTTGGCTTAATGGATAGAGCGTCGCCCTGTGGACTAAAGGGTCCTGGGTTTGATTCCGGTCAAGGGCACATGCCCGGGTTGCGGGGTCGACCCCCAGTGTTGAGTTTACAGGAGGCAGCCAATCAATGATTATCATCATTGATGTTTCTATCTCTCCCTCTTCCCTCCTCTCTGAAATAAAAATATGTTAAAAAACCTAACAATTCTACATAACATTTATTGTATTCTTACTATTTGCTAGAGATGGTGTTAAATCCATTTCACGGAATAGCTTACTTTATGACGTTTCTAGTAGGTTGGTAATATTTTTAGGCTCAGCTTTACAAGTTTGGAAACGATTAAAGCAAAAGCCCAGGCGATCTGAATCTAAAACTGAAACCTCAGTTTATCTTTTCGTGGGTGGGTGGGCATCCATACAGCAAATTAGGCTGCAAAGAGACAATGTGTGCGATAGTGTTTGGGACCCTACCTACAGGTAAGTTCACTGATTTGGTGCAGTCAGGTTAGGATGAGAGGTTCCTGTCATCACTTAGGATGAATGGACCTTGAAGCATCTCATTAGGCAAAAGGCAGGGGTGAGAGCATTTCTGTCAACGTTAAGCTGTCATTAATGATTTGGTTTGGCTTCCGTCAGAATTCACACTACCTGTGTGGCCCTTCATCACTTAGGATGAATGGATCTTGAAGCATTTCATTAGGTCAAAGGCAGGAGTGAGAGCATTTCTGTCAGTGTTAAGCTGTCATTAATGATTTTGCTTTGGCTTCCGTCAGAATTCACACTACCTGTGTGGCCCTGAAGCAGGAAGTGTAAGTCTTGGGTTCATGGTGTCCTCGCGCCTGTGAAAGAAAATAAATCCTCTGAGCAACTCATTTTAAATTGGGGCCTAAAAGTATTTCCATAGATGCAGTTCCAAGGAATGCTAACTAGCTCAAGGGAAGGGAGGAGAGCCTGAGCAAGACTCAACCAAAACAACAGACCGCAGAGTCAGACCTGCAAAGGCTGCAGATTGTAATTATGAGATTTAAACACACACACACACACACACACACACACAAAAAAAACTAAAGAGATTTAAAATAAGTAGCTAAACGTGGATGAAATAAGAGCCTATCCAAATTGGTAGAATACACGAAAATCGCATAGGATAAATAGAGATTTAAAATATAACCATTGAAATTTAAAACTCAATGGATGGGCTACATAGATTACACGTAGCTGAAGTGAAACTGGGAGATCTGAAGAAGGTACACAAAATGCAGGACATGGAAGTAGACTAAATGCAAGAGCTTACTAACTGGATTTGGGGATGAGACGGGCCACTTGCACTGAGCTGGAATCCCCGCAGGGACAGTGGGTGACGGGCACTGTTGGAGGAGAAGCCCTGAATGCTTGCTGTGTAGGAGTGTGCACTGAAGCTGGTAAAACTAGGAGGGCAAATCGGTGCACCAGGTCAGCACCGTGGTCACCTCGGAAGGGAGGGTGGGCGTGCGGATGCTCGTTTAAGTTTGAAACTGTACACAACCGTCTGCCTATGCTCTTGGGACATAAGCTAAGCCACTTAAGTGTCCGAGCCGGACTCTGGGAGCTGACGGGAACACGGTAAGTGTGACGAGCGGGAGGCGGGAGGATGGAGCGGGAGGAACCGAAGAGACAAGACACGGACGCTCTTTGCCCGGCTCCGCGGAGCTTCAGGCCCAGAGAGCAGCTTCCTCCTGCGTGACGGCCCCAGCGACCCCTAGCGGTGC